GGACAAGCTTGGTGGAGACTACCTGAAGAGAGGACCACCTGCGCATCACATGACCCGCGCAGACCGGTAGACTCGGTTCAAAACACGGTGAAAACACTGATCCGCTGAGGGTTCTGGTTTCGGATTTCGCAGGCGCTTCGCTCGGATTTCGCAGGCGCTGGTCCGTCTCGTCCGAAGGACCGCGCCCCGAGGTCCTTCGGATTCCGCGCGCAGCGAAGAGCCAGGAGTGACCCGGATGACTCACCACCAGAGCTCGGATGGTCGAAGCCCCAGCGTGAGATCTGGACAAAGCTAGTCAAGTCGAGGTGAGATCTGGACAGAGCGTTCGATGCTCGGGCCCTGGCTTAGGGTGTCTTCCTCTTTTTGGAGCTACGAACATGCAGGGCCTTCGGGAAACTGCTAAAGTTGGAAATGAGCCTTGCGAATGCCACGCTGCCCATGAATGTTGTCAGACTACTCCTTCCCCAACACACCTCTGACTCTGACTACGCCCTTGAAACTTCCAAAAAGCGACTTCGATCATCATCCACATGTCGGGCCAGCGTTTCACTGACCTCCATCACAGATGGTCTTTTCCTCTTGTTTTCTTTTAATTTGGACCTCCGGGCATCATCCCCCGGTCCTTGTCCAAACCGGTCTCCCTGGGTCGACTCACCCGGAAGACTCACCCGGCTCGTCGCCGGTCACCGAGTGACCTTGCGCTCGGAGCGGGATGAGCTGGTGGAGCTCATCACTGCGATGGGGAATGGTAGCCTGATGCGTGGCTGGAGGTGCGGAAGACAGAGGGCTGGGAGTAGCCTTCAAAAGCTGGAGGGCTGGAGGCTCAGGGAGGGAAGTGGAAGGGGGCAACCATGCATGCATGAATGAACCCGAGGCGAAGTGTCCAGTATGTCTTAGTCACTATGTGGTTTTTCACGCGGGATTGCGCCCACGTTGCAGAGAGACTGGTAAGGGGGAAAGATGGCGAAAGCAGAGTGTAGACGTCACCTTCCCCAAGAGGTGGTTTGTATGGACCCCATCTGAAAGTGCAAGCGCTAATTATATACTCTGACGTCACTGTCTCTTCTTTGAGGTGATGCAGGAGTCCTTCCATGGAAGCCAGCAGGAACGAGTGTATCTCAACCCCCCCCGGCATAGAAACGACGACGCTCGAGCTGTCGAACGCAGAGGACCCGCCGGTCTCGGCCAATGAGACGGTCTGTTCTACACCCCTTCAAACGGTTCCGGACCCAAGGCGATTTGGGATGTCCCAACCCCTCCATGCGACTCGAAGATATGCACTCCAACTAATCGGCAAATATGGCAGTCGCATGGAGTGTCTAGGTGTCAGCCGCCCCGCCAGACATCTCTTCCTTGCTTCGTCCCCACGCGAGGACCACCTTGGACCCTGATGGGGAGTTGCAGGCGGCGCCGGCGCCAGTGGCGCGGGAGTTCAGTTGACGTCCAGACTGGAGTTTTGGTGTCCACATGAGATGGACGGAGGTTCAGCTGACGCCCGCAGCAGTGGGAGACAGACACGCCTGGACGAGTCATGCCGGGCGGTCCACACTGGGCGGTGTGGGGACAACGCAGCTCCTGCAGCTTGCAGACAAAGGAGGTGGAATTCCATGGAATTCCCCAATGAACAGGTAGGGTCTAGAGTCTAGGGGACATCTCTCTTTTTTTGATAGTAATCGCCGTAGCACTGCAACAGAAGTGTGGATTCTGAAAAATATAAAGGTCTATCATGGTCTATCCCGAGACTATTTATGTGGAAACCCGCCGAAGAATGTGGAGCTGGTCACCTTGGAATTTCCAAGAGGAGGGGCCTCAAAGACACCAGAGGGAGGGCGAGCAGATGGAGCAAACTCACTGGGGCTTCGTAAGGAAAAACCACAAGAAGCTTGTATTTTAGTCAATTTGGTTGTACTGGGAGCTGAGCCGGACCCTAGGGGCGCTCTACATACCTATAATATACCCATATCATATATATATATACACGTATTTTTGTAATACTTTTTTAAGTAGAATGGTCTCCTACTGCCCAATTGCAAGTACAAACTACTTGATTTAGCCCTTCGGAGTGATCCCTTTTCCGCCCTTGTGCCGAAAACATGTCCTACAACAGCGCTCGGTTGGGGAGGATTCTTTCAGACATGGGGTTTACAATCAGAGCGTGGTGTTTATTTACATACCCAGGAGCAGTCAATAATCATAATGTGGCATGCACTGAGTTGGGACAGAGGAATTGCGCAGAAATACTGCACTTGGCCTTTGTTGATATACCGATGACATCCCATGATGCAAGACGACTGTTGCCTAGCTTTTTTACGCTTTTCTGCAAAGATGAGTTGGGAATATGGTGTTCTACGAGTTTCTATGTCGGTTCTTAGGGTGATGGCTCTTGTAACCCCTGTGCCAGGTTGACTATGATGACTTCTGTCGTGTGACAGGGCGGGTGTCCTAGTGGGTCTGCGGCTCTATGCGGCTCTGGTTTTTGTGCCACCTTCAGTCATTGTAACTGAGAACAGTCTGATGGATCCTGATCAGTCACAGTTTAACTGGTCATCAGTTCACTCTTTGAGTTTTGGGGGCAACCAAAGACTTCGCATGGCCTGGAGAGAAGGTGGACGATGCCTGGTTGAAACATCTGCTTCGTTGTAAGAGAACGGCCGCGTGATGCATTTTTCATCCATACAAAGTCCCTGTTCTTCTCTTCGACCAACGCTGCCTGATGGCCCAACAGGTCATGGAAATGGGTTGGGGACATCAACGCCCTCTTCGGCGGTGATGGCGTTTGGGAACCCGGTTGGGGATGTTTTCCCAGGGTCGCCTGGCATGCGAAATCCGTTGGTTCCCGACCATATGAGTTTTCCCTGGGAGTTGGAAACCTCTTCGAAAATGGGTGACCTGGATCTGGCAGACAGAGCACCAATTCATTCTAACGGTAGTTGAAAGCCCATGGTCGAGTCGAGTTGGACCTCACGTTTCTTGGGCTGCTTCATGCGGATTCTTCCCAAGCTTTCGTTGTTTCACCCGAGCCAAAAGACTCGCTGGGGGACGGTTTGGTCACAGCCAGCGGTTCGGCTCGCGCTGAACGACCGCTCGACCGGTCGTTCAGCTTATGGGGGAGAAGGGCAGTCCAGCCAGCAAGAGCCAGCGCACCCTGACAGGATGGTCGTAGACTGTTGATTAAGAATTCCTCCAAACAGGCATGGGTCTCTTCATATATGGGTTACGTACCAACCGTCTACATAATTCTTTCTTCTTCTTGTGATTGGGTGATTTGATCCAGGTGAGTTCCAAATTTGGGCCGCTGGCTGGTTGAACCTCAGCCACCTCCCATCAGGCAAGTCGTCCACTCACCTTCCCGAGGATTTGGACCATCTACAGCTCAGTGAGATCGCCCCAAAGGAGGGCCGCTGCCTCGGACCCATCGAACACGTGGCCAGCGACGCACGGAAACCCCGGGCGGTATTCGACGCAGACGCCGTCGGGATGTGTGTTCATCCGATGTGAAGAGACGCCGTGGAGGAAAACAAATGGAAAAACATGTGTCCTTGGTTGGACTCCTTTGCTTGTGGTGAGCGGAGGAAGGATGGTCAGTTCTGAGGCTTGAAGCACCAGATAGGGCACCCTATCACTTGATTTGTGTGACCTGAGGTGGCCAGTTCAGGTTTGATGTCAAAACCATCTATGTTGCAAAACACTCGAACCTGCCACTCCCAAGGCAAGCTCCTAGCAAACTTCATGCCCGGCATCCCAGCCGATGCTGAGAGCCGAATCGTTCCAACGGCCGAGAACGGGCCAAAAGGAGGCACCCCGAGAACGGCAGCGAACGGCGAAAACAGGCGGATCGGGAGGGTGTGTGTTTTCATGTGGTTTTCACGGCACTCATGGGTGTGGCTTGTATGTTTGTTATCGTTGTCATCCCTTTCTCTTCGTGCTTTCTAGCCGAAGGTGGGGGGCCAATCTGAAGAGCCGCTTTCTTCATCTTTCTTCGACCCACCTGGATGACGGCACGTTCCGCACGTTTGGCACGGCATTTGGACGAGCTTGTTCGACCCGCGTCATGGAAAACACGCGCGCCTTCCTCCCCCGAGGAAGTGGGTGAAGGAGGAGTTTGGCTCCCCTGCGGACTTCTTCACCTCCTTGGACACCAACAAAAAGGGCAAGGCGAGTCACCAGTGTTCTCGCCGGTGCGATGACGTTCTCACGATCGCCATGGGAACGAGCTGCATGGGTCGAGTCGTCGTGGGCCACACGGATGCCCTGCAGTGGGTCCACACGGGTGGGCCCCACGGAAAAAGCATGCGGCCAGTTCTTCCTTTTGCCGCAAGGCACGCTATGGCACACTCCTCAAGCATCGAACTACCTGGGAATTGTGGGAATGATGGGGAATGGGGTGGACATGAGCTTGGAGACCGTAGCACCAGAGACTTGGGAGAGTTATCCTGTTATCCTCGTGTACATGCACCACCGGCCTGGCAGCTTATATAAAGATGAAACCGACCATCTTAAACCCATATGTCGCATGAGCTGAGTATATACTGTAATCAACACGGCCATTCTGATGGAATCCATTTGGCCAGGACGCCGTCCTTGGAAAGCCACATCAATAATACAAAAGGTTATCAGCATGCAGCATGCATCAAAGGCAGGTTGCATTTTGCGGTTTTTAACTGCATGGTCCTATTAGTTATTTTTCAGCTTACAGCATTTAACACATTGTTTTTTAGGGGGCCGTGTTTTGGTGCCAAAATGCTCCGCCGATGCCATTTGGATCACCAGTTTTCGGGCCACTACCCCCAAAGGGGGGTTTCGTGTGACACAGCGATGAGACCGAGCCTCCAACCGAAAAACAGGCCTATAGATTGGTTCAGGGTCCACGGCTCACCTGACCAAAGATGGTCAGGACATCCGGCCTTCCAAAAACCGGCCCCATCTGCATGCAATTCATCATGGATTCATCGCGATTGATCATGATTCATCCATTTTCATCCTCCACACACTCCAGTCATTCGAAGTGGCCCGAAGTGGCTCACCAGACTTGTTTCGGCAGTCGTGACGTCCTTCTCTGGGTGTGGAGCACCGCCGATGTCAGAGCTCGACTTGGAGGTTCCAGAAGAACATGGCAGGACGTTTGGGCGGACATTTGGGCTGATGGTGCTTGGGCGGATATATTTGTGGGCTGGGGCTCATTGGGGCAAAGAAGCCTAGAAATGACGCTGGTCCTTGTCGCACCATCGGGCGGTGCTTAGAGCTGTGACCCAAAGCAGCCATCTGGAAAGCAACTAGGTGAAGAGACTACAATAATATCTATAATATATCTATAAGCATTGTTAAACTTTATGGTATACATATATATATATATATATATATAATATGTTACACTTAATTCGCACGCATGCATTCAATATGCTCCAAGATGGAACCAGCAGGGTGAAAGTTTTCGATGGGAAACCGGCTGCTTGGCCATTTCCTACAGGCATTCTCTGGACAACGTACAGTTGAGGGCCATTGGACCAAGGCCCGGGCAGTTGCAGGATGTTGCAGACCAGAAATGGGTAGGCATTTTCACAGGGAGACCCCCCAATCAATTGGATTTTGCTTCTGGTCTGGCGGTTCCGATGCCCCCTTGCCTCCCCCATAGCGCAAGAAGTCCGAAAGGAGTTACCAATTCGGCCCCTCTGGAGACGTGGATGAAACGTCCGTTGAACGGGTCGTTGAACGGTTTAAGTCTTGTTCTTTTCATATACGGCCCCCTGTGCTGGGGTGGTTAGTGGATACCCCGAATCACCTCTAAGGCCTTAGGGGGCCCTGGTATATTTTCCTTCTTCCAGGTTTATTTGGAGGTCTCCCTAATTTGTAATGCGCACCCCAATGCTGACAAAGATGTGCTCCGGCCTTCAAATCGAAACGGTCCAGCTGTTCCAACCCAAGTGGCCACCCGGGAAACACCCACGCTCCAGGATGCAACAAGATGTGCTCGACCTCCAGGGATTGGAGGCCGTGATTGGATTCCCCCCCGTCGCCCGTCGCCCTGGCGAAAAAGCCGCTGGAAACGGGGGGGCTTCCTCAAGCACAGGCTAGCTAGTTGCCAGCTAGAAGGCCACATGAAGATCATGAAGGTGCAGCTGCTGTCTGCTGTTTCTCCTGAGGACTGCATTGCTCACACATTTCTTGGCATGCTCTGCTCTGCTTTGCTCTGCTTGTCACACGCACCCCCCAAAACCCTTCGAGCCACGCGGCTCCCGCCGGTGACTTGACCGGCGGGGGAGCGGGGACCGCGCCTCGGTGTCAGGTGGATCGGAGCATGGATCAGGTGGCCTCGTCATGCCTCTCCAGCCATGGCCTTGCGGGTCATACCAGTGGCCTGGGCTCTCCAAGCTATGGGAGTGGGAGCGAGATCAGCTCCGAAGCAGCACAGCTGGCGGCCAGGCTGGAGAACAGCATGTGGCCCTGGTTGGTTGAGGGTGACTTTGTTTTCATTGTTTGCCACAGCTACCATAATAGAAGAACAGGAGGTCCTCATTGTGCCAAGCATGCCGAAAAAGGCCGCGAATCAGCCGAGGTCCTTTCTCTTTCCCTTTCTGGGCCGATTTTTCCGCCGCTCCGCCCGTGCCGGTCCCGTGGTACACCGGCAGGATGCGTCAGATGCTTCCCGTGGTGGCCGGCTTGGTCTCCAGCATGAGAGTCACACATCCCGGAGTCCTCCGCGGCACGCCGGCCTACCGGCCCTTTCAGAGGCCCGACGGGCGAGTCCGCGGTGGGCCCGCAACGGGTTCGCCGTCGCCTCGCCGAACGAAGCCGTCGCCTCGGCGGAGAGCTCCTTGGATGGGGATGCGAAGATCTCCCGAGAAACCGATCAGATCAGTTGTATATAGAGCTCCTTGGGATGTGAACAGAAAAAGAGGGGGGACAGCTCGGAGCATTTGACCCATTGGAGGACTTCTATTCTATTCAGCTCCGACCCTCTCAGCCCAACTGCCAACTCACACGGCCGGTGTTTGTCAGGTGTGGCCAGGCCTTTAATCCTGGTTCCGAGGAGGAATTCTCCAAGAAGAGCTTCGAAGTGAAGCACATCACGACTTTTTGGTCCCACAGTTGGCGTGGACCGCGTTGGCCCAAGGCCTTGACACTGATGGTGATCTACAATGGTCAAATCGCCGTGTGCATGGGGACCTTGGCGGCGTTTCTGATGATGATCCTGTTCAGCTTCCAACTTCTTCCAGGCTTTAGCCGCCTGGCATGGGCCGTGGCTCGGAATTTCAATCGGTTCCCAGCCGCTGGGGATGGTTTTTTCGCGCCTTCCGAGGAACGCGCCAGTTCCAAGGTACCGACCAAGAACGCTTTCGGGCGCGAAAGCGATTCAGAACTCTTTGGGCTTTTATTGGGGCCAAGTCCCTTTGATTTGAGTTCATCATGAGTTCATCTATGGTTTTTCATGGTGCAGGATTTCCATCTCTTCTCATGTTGGTCCACCATGACGGGCTCCATCGTCAGCTTTTTGACCTTCATCTTCTGGCGGCCTCAACAGCTGGTCTTCTTCGACCGCATGTGCATCCCGGAGAATGACAGCCGTCTCAAAGCGGAGGCGAGGCGACCTGTTCTCTCGGACACGGTGTGAGTCGGAGCCGTCGGAAAGAACAACTCCTGCGACATTAAGAGTGTGTCTGGTGCTAGCTGGGTTTGTTTTCATTTGTTCCACTTCGGCATGATTCTGCAGTATGTGCTAGCTGGGGCGGGTCTACTGTATCTTTCGCCTTTCGTCCGAACGACACCCCTCAAATGGAAAGGATTTTGGAGATCCAGACCCCTGCTATGAAGGGTCTGGCCCCCACATGGAAGGTCCAAGGATTCTTAGGGAGCCTATTTTGGTTCACACGTGTCAAGCTCGCCCGGTCGCACGAGCCCCAACGGCCGCTTGCGGCCGCCAGGAACATCATACAGCATTACAATGTGCTTGTCTAAATATACACCCGGCAGGTGCAGTCTGACCCAGTAAAGCTTGGCCCTTTACCTCACTGAGTAGTGCTTTTGTATGCTTTTGCATGATCAACTCGAGCACAATCTTGTTGACCAGTAGGGGCACAAGAACCAGCGAAAGGAAGAATAGCTGCACCCCAAACAGGTGGCGACAGATTCGGACGGATCTGGACAGCTGTTTTGGAGGCGATCTATAGTTTGGCTGGCATCTTGAAGAGCTCTTCCAAGATGTTAGTTCTGTGGGACACCACTTGGAGCGAGCGCTTGTGGTGCTTGTTCGAGTTGGCGGCCTTCTTGAAGAGCCAAAAGGCCAGTCTGAGAGATTCAGTCTGAAAGTCAAATCCCCCACCTCTAGTTCTGGGCCTTAGAAGATGCCTTGTGCAGCGGTTTGCAATAGTGAACATTAGAGGACCGTTGGGTTCTTCCCAAAAAGGGCGCCCATGCGCCCTTGGCAGAGTCCATTAAGTCATATGGAGTCAGGTCCCGTTTGAGAATCAGGTTGGAGGCCATTGCTCACCCACTGCCACAAGGAGGGGAGATGCATCAAAAAAGTAAACATGCATTAAAAAAACATAAATGCATCAAAAACAAGTAAACATGCATTAAACAACAACATAGAACGAAAGGAAGAAAGGAAGGAAGGAAGGAAGCTAGGAACGAAGCAAGGAAGGAAAGGAGGAAGAAAGGAAGGCAGGAAGAAAGGAAGGCAGGAAGGAGGGCAGGAAGGACAGTTGGCTTTCGGTGGCTTTTTGAACACATGAGAGAGCCAGAGCCTGACCATTGTCTATTTTCCACTGTGAAATTGACATGCGATGTTGCAAAATTTTGCCCAGATGCCCAGCGCAGAGAGCATTGCAGTTATCAAAGGAAGATTCATTGGGGAAACTCCATGATACTGTAATTGCTTTTTGGTCGTGCCAAGTTACACTGCCTCCCCCGGCGCACCTCCCCTGCGCCCTCCCGCTTTTAAATTTTGAGCGTAGAAATAGTTTCGGGTATAGCCTTCTAGACTTGGTTTTTGGTGGCTGTGGATTTTGGCTTTTGGTGGCTTTCAGTGGCTTTGTAAGAGTTTTTGTATATATATAGGTTGGCTTCCTGGTTGTTTTATGATGCATTATTTTTGGGATCACTGCTTCGAACGGAATATTGCTCTTCCCTCTGCACGTTTGGATCCGTTTATTCTATGTTTTGAAGCATTTTTTCTTGACCCCCTGTAATATAATATATGTTTTTGTTGATTCGTTTTTTTGTCCTTTTTTTGATCCGAGGCCCTCGCCCCGCAGGGAGGCGGCCAAAGCCTCGAAATCCGGCCTACCTTCCTGGGGCCTAGCATGCTCTTCGTGTTTTTGACAATCTTCGCTGGATCCATTGGGCTGGTGCTGTCCCCCGTGTCCTCGCACGACAACCTGATGATCCCGAGCTTCGGCCATTTGTGGCCGGCGCGGGTCCGTGGAATCGGGGTAGAGAGGAGGAAGGTAGGACCAGGTGGCACTAGAAACCATCAAAGGCCTTTTGGAGCCTTTTGGTTATTCAGGTGCTAGTGCCACAACTCAGAATCTGGGTGGGCCCTCACAGCCTCTTCCAATCATCTACGTCACACACACACACATGATGTTCGCTGATAACATTGAGTGGCTTGCCGGCCTACGGGCGTCCTCACCCAAAATGCTTCAACGTGTGGCCAGCCACAATGGTAGAAGGCCATTGCTTTTCTGCTGCATGGGTTCCGGCATTTCATGTTTATTGGAAGAGAGGTTCGTTGCGAAAGACTTCTACCTCTGCAACTATATATATATATATATACACAGACCCTCAAACAGATAGAAGTTCGCAGATCTCCACTAAAAATATATTGGACACGACCGGATTTCTTTGGGGGATGGCGGGTCTCGTCCCACCGGAGAGTTGGCTGGTCGATCTCGGCTGTTTGAGCAGCCATCTCGGCCTGTTTGAGCCATCTCGGCTGTTCGAGCTGAGATGACCGATGAATGTATACTCCTTGAAATATCAGACCTTCTTCGCTTGAAGAGAGGGATGGCCTGTTCCTTTCTCCATCAGACGTCGCCAACCGATGAAATAATCATGGAATGAGTGAGTTCACCCCCTGTTTTTCGTCTTCGGATTGAAATGAGGTCCCCTGGTTCAGAGAGGGGACATGTTCCACTTCCTTGATGATTTACCCTACAAGTCAATTCTGACCCTTTAAAATCCGGTGTTTGACCTCCTCAACTAGTGCTTTTGTATGACCACGTCCAGTCAAACTGAGGTCTTTGACAGGGGAAGTGGAGTTCACCACCTGTTTGGAGAAGATTTCATGGTCATCCCCATCCACGTTGGCCCATGATTTCGGGGAGTGCAGAGTGTTGCCCAATGAAACTTCCCATTTGGGGGGGGCTTCACAGGTCGAAAACGGTGCAGGGGCTATATATATATATATAAGCGTTCCTGAGTCGCTGGCCGCTTTCTTTTTTTCTCAGTGGCATCTGAGAGACTGAGAGATGAGGAGCTGGTGGGTCCCTCACCACCCAAGTCAAAATCAATGATCCAAGTGGGCAGAATTCCCCAGATCCTTCTTGTTGGAAGCCGCACCTCGGCCCGGTCCGTCTCGGCGCTTCCGGTGCAACACCGGCTTCTTCGGCTCGGACCAGCCGGCAAGGATCGGGTGTGGGCTCCTCGCGGGCTCCGCCGTCGGGTGGATGGCCATCAGTGCGCTGCGCAGCTACTTCCGCTCCATCGAGGCGCGGTGGGGTGGAGCGAGTCGGGCTACACCACGACGGGAGGCGTGAGACACCGGCGAGGAGCGCGAGACTGGAGGGCATGAGAAGGAGTGGGAGGAGCATCAGGAGCTGAATTCGCAGATGAGGGTTTGAAGCCACGAGGGTTTGTCGGTGTTTTTGTCTACTTTGGGGTGTCACAAGATTTGATCTTATTTTTCTGGAAGGCGCTGATCAATGATCAATCTTTTTCAGACGAATCAGAGGTGCATGCTGGTATCCTTGAGAAGGTTAGCGAATCTATACTCCTAGGTCCAACCGTGCGCACTAGGATTCGCGATTGAAACAGCCTGTTCAACGAACAGGTTGGGACGCCCTGTATGGCCCTGGAATGCCCCAATGAGCCCCTCTGGGCACAAAAGGTCTTCTCGGCTGTGCTACCTGCGCCCAGTGCTGAGGCACGGTCCTTCTCCTTCTTATGCCAGATGGCAGTGGGTCAAGCCCGGATAGCTGTCTATTTGTTAACAGCAGGACTTCTTATCAACAGCCCCAGTACTTAGTATTCTATTACTTCTACTCAGGACAGGACTGGATAATGACCTCCATCTGAGTCCCCCCCCAAAATCGCGCCGCCAGATTCCACAGATCCCGCGGAGAAAAAGGCGTCGCCGAAAAACAAACCCGGCGTGGGCTTCAGGCCTTGGAAGCGAAACTCCAATGGGCCACCTTGGAGGGCACTCGCTGCACCTGCTGCGACGAAGCGCACCTCGATCGACGTGGTCAACCCATGCTGTGCGACAGAGAGGCGAAAGGGGACGAAAGGGGCGGCCCCCGGGACGCGCGGCCGGAGCGGAGGTGGGGGGAGGTTAGGAGGGTTTTGGGGGACCGGTCCGGCTTGAACATTTTTTGGGGGGGTTGAAAGCTCAGAAGTCCCGGAGCAACAGCCTGAAGCATGTGGAATGTGGAGCCCAGAAAACTATTCAGTGGGGTTGATTTGGGCGGGTGACGGAGATTTATGATTAGGTCTTGATCAGTAGAAGCACCAGAGAACCTTGACCTGTACAACACGTGCATTGTCATGCATGAATAAGCACGATTGAGAAGGACACACCAAATGAATCAAGTGAAACACCTGAGGGCAAACCCTGCAAACAATGCATAGCAAAGCATCTCAAGTCACATATGCAAAAAAAACACATGCCAAGCAAGATGATTTTGGTAGCCCTTTCAAGCATGAATGGACGTGTTTTTGCCACCCTAGGAACATGGGCTCAGTTTTGGGTTCCAACCTCGACCCATGAGTTTTCTCCGGGCCATTCCTTCACTCAGACACTGGGAACAGCTGCTTTCAAGGGACCGGTGCTGAAGGGGCTGAGACAGCTCGTTTTCAGCGGAGCGAAGAAGCCAGGTGGTGAAAGAATGCCTAAAGAGCTGGTTCGGAAGTGAAGAGGAGTTCGAGAAGTATGTGCGCTCGGAGGTATGGCACGCCATGAGCTTGGAGCTTCGGAAGTCGAAGTATTGTTAAACAAGAGGCATACGGAGGCTCTCCGTTGTCGCTACGACCGAGCCACACAGGGGCTCCACCTTCACCCCAACGTTGGGCACACGGAGCCCTGAGCACTGCAGTGGACTCCAACACGAAGCTCAGGGAGACCTACAGCAGGTGACATGAGGTTTCCATCAGTCTTCTGAGTTTTTGGGGTACGCCTGAAAGGGAAGGGCTAGGTCGGCTAGGTTGGAGGCCATCGCGTTTTGGGTTGGAGGCCATTTGTTGCGCAAGTATCGGAGGGGGCAGGGATAAAATGAGGCACTTAAGAGGATCAACCCCGAACAGGTTCAATATGGCTAAAGTGACCAATGATTCAATTCCACGCATTTCTGGAACCTCCAATCACTTACAAAGCTACGGCACCTGGAAGTGATACTCCACCCTCCACCACTACCAGGTCATGAGTCAGGACTGGACCCTCAGGGATTTCCGTTCTTTTCCTCACCCCCTTCTGAGCAGCTGTCAACAGCTGTTAACTTGATCATGCTTGATCTTTTTGGCTGGCAAAATGGTTGGCCCTGACTCTAAGATCAGGTCACTTGGCAAAGACATCGAACACACATTTATGTAAGTATTTAATCGTATCACAAGATCACATAGTTTTCAATCAGACAGCAAGACCCTTTTCAGCCCCACGAGCCAAGATATGTCGAGAGTTCTCGGATTTCCGCCGGAACCAAGGACCTTCAGGAGCGGGTCTTCTCTGCGAATATGAGCCGAGCTGTTTGCGCGCCTGTGTTGTGGGCCTTCATGGACCTGGCGGCCTCCTATATGCAATTTCTCGCCGATGCCGAGTCTGGGTTGCCGTGGATTGGTTGGGGATTCCTCGTGGACGGACTGGCGACTTGGATTTCTAAGGCCACCAGATGCTATTGTAGGCTCTTGATCAATCAACCCCCCACTTGGATGGTAAAACACCTTCCAAGGGGGGTTCTATTCATCAAGAGTCTACAATGTAGACTGGATCCGTTGGACCCATCCCAGCTTGGTCCTGACGAGCTGTGAAGCTCCACAAGTCCAGTGCTTGTTGGAGTGCTTGTTGTTGGCATGGTAGCGAAGCGATGCATCGAGTTCGCTTCGAAGCGATGCTATGCGTCTATGTTTGAGTATCGGTTCAATTGATGGTTCGATTTGATGCTTTCGGCTTTGTTGGCGGTCCACAACAGAATATATAGTGTACATGCATTTCTCTATAACTTATATACGTTATTGAAGTAAACTGAAGATGATTAAAGTAGTAGTTCCTCAGTTCGGCTTTCGGTCGCCGCAGCAGCAGCAGCAGCAGCAGCAGCAGCAGCAGCAGCATTCTAGTTATATCATGTGTTTTGCTTCAGAGGTTTCGTCCTTCTGTTGATTTTGTAGGCCGGACGTGTCGAAGTAATCGTGTGATTTCGACCGGTTCTACCCATCGATTTGTTACAGTTATAGCTGTAGGCTGGAACTCTATTTCAAGTATTACCTTCGAACGGGGCCCGTCCACGGTTGAAGGTGGTAAAATACCGGATACGTGAAGAAATGTTCCTCATATTGATTTACTGTATTATGCGTTTATGTGGGTTGTGTGTTGCTTATACCATCTTATACCATGTTTCGCGCGTATACCATCTATATTCACTAGGAGGTACTAGCAGGGTCTGCAGAAAGAGAGTCGACACAATCACTTGCACAAGAGAAGGACCTGTAAGGATGTCATGTTCTTTTTGCAGCTGAGCTTTGCCGGGTGGAACTGGGACCTCAAGGTTTTCAGTGTTATTTAGGAAAGCTGGTGCCGTCATGGGGTGGTGACTCGCACCCGACGCTAGCACCAATTTTGCATGCTTCACTCGGATCCTTGGTTTGGCACCGCAGATGCAGGAGGCTGCACATTCTTGTGTTTTTTTCATTTGTTTATTCCTTGTCTACACATGATTTTTATTTATATATATATTTTTTTTTTAAAATTCACTTTTTGTTCTTTCTTTCTATCATTGGTTCTTTCCAAAGCCCGGCACCAAACGCGATGCAACAACACGGTTAAAACACATGCCACAAGAGCACAAAATATGAGGGAGGAACAACTCCTTCCAGTTGTTTGCTGGTCTTTCTTTCTTTGTTCTCTTTCCTTTTATCTATTTTAGATATTCTTAATTCCCTTTTTCCAGGACCTGAACATGTAGGTTCCACCGCTTCAACCGTTCAGTTTCGGCCCTTTCGGAGACGCCGCTGAAAGTGGCAGGAAGTGCAACAATGTGCCACGTGCATCAGTGCATTCAGATACTTTTTTGGTCTAATATGGCTTTTATAGGTTTTCTTTCAGGTTTCTTTCTTTCCGCTTGTGCCAGGTGGACGGCTATTCTTTCGGCAGCCGCTGTGGTTTTTGCTTCGGTTCGGTTTCAGCTTCGGTTTACTTGGTCTCGATGGACGGGTTCGTCATTGACCGGTTGATGGCTACTGTTTCGGAGTTCCGTTGAGCGTCTTAGACGGTTGAAATATCCATGGTCGGGAAGCAGCTGCGCAGTTGAGACAGTTTTGTTTGATTTGCACGCGCCATCGATGCCTGAGGTGATCCAACTGATCTTGTGCCCATTCGTGTTCCACATCGTGGTTTTCCTGGCACGTCGCTTTCGCCGGAGAGGTGCCTCATTCTGCAGTGAGGTCTTTCGCAATTTCTTTGTCGTGCTTTGTGCGGTGATGGCCCTGGGCTTAGCAGCTGCCTTCTATGTCAGTGGCTGGGCCATCTTCGTCCGTGGCGGCATTTTCGTGCTGGGATTCCCCCGCAGCAGCTACTTCGCCGGTCCGCTGCTGACAGCTTGGTTGCTCCATCAAGTGCACCAACGATGTACCAAGAAGGTCCCCAAGAGCCAAGCTGGTCGCCGGCATGGCCTTCCAGGCCATTCACTTGAAGAAGGCGATGGCTGGGGGTCGGTGATCGTGCGTGAATTTGGATACCCCTCCCCGGCTCGCCCCTGGTTTTTCAGAGGTTCTGTATGGCTTTATGGTTCTCTTCTGAATTTCTAAGTTGGCACATGCACATCCATGAACAGTTCTGACTCCTGACCCAACTGCCGCGGAACGAACGCAGAACGCTGAGACGGTCCCTCGATCCGTCTTCCCCGAAAAAGACACGGTCATCCGACCCAATTGCGACGGAGGAAAGATCTCCAAGCACCAGCACCGAGATGTAGACCACCCGTCAACGATTCACTTGGTCCAGACTGTTCAAGCAGACATACCAAGAAAAGACACCGATAGGACCACAGGAATTGTTTGCAAGTATGGCACATGAAGGGAAACCAAAGACATGAATATATGAGATATCACTGACGCGACAGGTGCCGACTGATGCGACTTGAAGTGCCGACTCGCGGTGGATGGCATTACGGGTGGTCGACCTAAGAACACGGGGTGAGGTGGTTTCATTGAATGTATATGCAAGTGTCATTGGAACAGTGGAGTGCAATAAAGGCACGTCCGGATGTTGTATCATTGATCATTATAAATTATAATAGTAAATACACACACACACATATATATATATATTTGTTGTGGAATTCTTGCCAATATATATACATATATACACATGCGGTTTTAACATGTAATAATATAGTATAACATGGTGATTTATGATGCGATATTATTTATGGCTCAATCACACAAACATCAAATAAACACCAACACAGTGCTACCTCACCTCGCCCTCATTCTCCCCTGTCTCAGGGAAGAATCGATGTTGACCAAACCTTTTTGTCCTGCAAAACCCGCAGTGGCTCAGTGTAGACTCAAAGGGCCGCTCTTTTCGGGGCAAACACTCAAGGCCCCTTCAGGGCGGGCAAGCTCTGTGAAAGTAGCGGCCTCACATGGTTTTCGTCATAGTCATGGCTGGCTGGGAAGAACCGCAGCCATCTCATTTTAAAGACCGTTTTGGAGTTTGCCGCCCGTCCGCTGGAAACACATGGGATATGAAGACATAAGACATGACCCAAAAGACAACCCTTTTGGACCGCCCACACCTGCCTTTCTGGACGGCCCTTTTGAAGTCGAGACGTTTGGTTGAAGCCTGCGGATCGGATCGGAACATTTCAAGGGAAAACCTACAGCAAACCCGAATTTCACCGCCACCTATGGGTTTCCTGTAGATTTGCCCATTATATTAAAGAAACAATTCTGAGAGACCCCAGCAGGGCGGAGTGGTGTTTCTCCGTCCGCTCAGTGTGGACGAGATCCTGCTGACTTGACTCAGCAAGCGCCTGAATCGAACGGCTGTTGATCGAGAGCGTATTGCGGCGTCTTGACCCACTTGGCTACGCCCGCAACGACTGAAAAGCAGCGGCGCGAAGCGGCGCAGACCGCGGCGGCGCAAAGCGATGCGCAGACCGCGGGGGGGCATGTTGGTCGGTCATCGTTTTTCAGCACAGGCAGATGCCAGGTTCCAGGGACAGACCGCCGAGGGCCGGGTTGTGACTAGTCTGGAGTATGCGTGCTTGCGAGGCCATGAGCACATTTGTACCACTCCACTTGAAAGCCACACCAGCTTGCAACTCCATGAGTTGCGTCTGGGTCATAGGAAGCCAGCTAACTATAACTCAAAGGATTCGGTTATGACGGGTTCCTTCCAATGCGTGCCGCCAATGACGGTTGGCGCGAGGTTGAGGACGACCAGGCTGGTGATGGAAAAAAGATCCATGAGGTCGCATTACCTAGGAATTGCATTGTGCATTTGGAAGCCATAGAGATGACAAAGACATCAATAAACAAAAAGCCGGCAACTTTTTCAGAAAAGCTGTGAGCTGGCATAGCCATTGGTTATTCAGGTCCCTTACAGATGGTTCCCATTCATTGCCACACGTCCCGAAGTTGGGCACGCCTTGCCAGAGGACGCCTTGCCATGTTCCACTCTTGACTTGCCCAAAGTGGTATTATAGTTGTTCCATGTTATTCCATCAAAGTCAATCTATAGTGGATTGAGAGTAGATGGCACAGACCCCAAGAGGTGGTTTATATACTTGGGGTCTGTGCCATCTACTCTGAAACCACTGTAGTTGCCATGTCCCTGATCATCCCTTGTTGGCCGTCCTCCTGGCTCCAGTGAGGCCGATGTCTTGGATGCCTGCCGGTACATGGTTTCACCCCCGTTCGGGCGACAAGTGGGGTCTTAACGGATGGGGGGACATACAACAACAACAGCAAGCCCAATAGCTACGATGGGATGGAGAAAGTGGGTGTTGAAAGTTGGATAGTTGGATCAATCCGATCAATCCCCCCCCTGGTGGATGAGGCACAGCTCCTTTTGCACATCCTGAACTCATCCACTTAGCTTTTCGGATTGCTGGCGCCGTGACAGCGGTCCGCACCGAGCCACCCTCCGCCGTGCATGGCATGTCAGAGCTGAGCTCGCAAGTGGCGGATGGGCTGGGTGATGGGAGGCGCCCCGTTGTCCGGCCCCGTTTGGTGCGGCGTGGGGGTTTTGGTGCGGAAGGCATGCTACATGAACCTGAAGCCTTGTCAGACTTCGTTAAGTTTGGTTTTTGGTTTGGCTTGATGGTCAAGATTGTCAAGCAGTTGCGCACTGATAGCCTTCTGCATCTCCACTGCCCAGACTTTTCGGCTATTGAGATGCCGGGAGACCAATGTAGACCATGTTGCCGCGGTGAGGGTCAGTCAGGTAGTGAGAAGTGATGCCTGATGACTGACCCTCACCACGGCAACAATGCTCGGAATCACATGTATATAATGTATGCAATTGCTACTGATAGCGATAGCCTCCAACCTACTTGCGATGGCCTCCACCGAGCATAGCGTCCTTGTGACCGGTATGAAGACTAGGAGACCCCCGTTCTGCAGGTCCGGCCATCGCCGGACCTGCGGCCCAGCGGTCGAAACACCCTCGATGGTGGACTCTTGATGCAAAAAGCAACTCCACACATGGATGGTAAAAGCTCCTTCGCATGGATCCATTTGGATTTTTTAATTGTTTGTTTGAATCAAGAGTCTAGAGTCTACATGATATTTCTCCACTCCGGCTGATAAATGGCCACACTAAGGATCGGTCCTCCAATGAGGTTGGTTCCCAACTGGATGAAGTGCCACGATCGCGTATGTTGACCACGATAGTAGTGGCCGCGCTAACGCACAAGAAATGTGGGTATTAACTCTGGGTAGTGTTTCATGTTTGTGCACAAGATGGCGCAGATTAATACACTGGCCTTGGTCCAGCGAGGGTCCAAGGGGATTCTTTTGCAATCCTACCAGAGTCGAACGGTTTCCAACGGCCGCTCGGTCCTCGACTTGGGCGGGAAGCTCGCGACACCTCCACCTCCAGGCATCTGGAAGAAGATGTGGCACTCGACCTCGAGGGTTTGGAAGGTTTGGAGGCCGCGATCGTGTGATCTTCCGCACAAGGAGTCAAAGGAGTCAGGGGATGAGGACAGGAGCCTCATAAAGCCTCCATCCCATTCCAACAAGCCATGCACAAATGAAACGGGCAGGTTTGAAAGCCCAGCAGTTGAAGCCTCTCCGCGAGGGAGATGCCGGTGATAGCAAGGGTGAAGTGGGGGCAACCCCGAAACTTGATGAAATGTCCTGACTCCGCCTCTGGGAATGTATGGGAGTCCGAACATCTCATAACGCTCGTCAACTAGCAGCAGTGCCATCTCAAGAGGGATAAGAGCACCTGTTTTTCAATGACTGCCAAGTTCTTGACGAGATGTTGTATGATGTTGTGAGAAAGGTGGTTCATCATGTTGCAGCCCTCATTTTGTCCAACATCTCTCTTGCCCGCCTTTATCTCCTCGTCTTCGGGCCAACCCGCTTTTCTCCTCGGGCGGATTCTCCTGTTTGCAAAGGACAGGTTGTCTTCCCAGGGGCCCATGCCATCCACGTCACCATGTTCGTTTCCGTCTCGGACCCGGTCCAACCCGACCCCCTGCAGGGTCGCTCGGGCGCTCGCAGCTCGTATAGCTCGGGCACACAGAGCTCAAGCGGACACGAAGCGCGTGAAGCGGCTGCGGTGGCCGCCAGGCGGGGCTTTTCATTGTTTGGGAAGAGTGTTTGGAGCAAGACCAGGATGGTTGGACATCGTTTGAAATGGTTTGGTTTTCTGAGGTTGAGGCACATCATCCGTTTTCTCTTTTCTTTTGGCATGCCTCGCCATGCCTCCCCTCTGTTTATCTCGTCTCAAAGCGGCTGCTTGCCGTCCCAGCATCGGCTGTCCAGATCGCGCATCTGCGAGGATGAAAAGGGCTCTCCCAGTGGTGGCCAACTTGGTCTCCAGCATGAAAGTCACAAGCCCAGAAGTCCTACGTGCCACGCCAGCCTACCGGCCCTTTCAGAGGCGCTTTTTTTTCTGCAGATGTGGGGAGGTGGATTTGTGGGAGAGAAATGGGATTGACTCTGTTGGAATCCCGAAATGCTTATTTTTTAAATCACATAATCATTTAGGCCCTTCCTGTGGCCCTTCCCTGTCCTCGAGTTGCAGGTTCCGGATGGTTCCATGGAAGTGGAAGACCACGTGTGTAAAGGAAATCAGGCTTTCCATGGTTCAAGTTCGGATCACATCCTTGTGAAACATGCTTTTGCCTGTGGTGTCGAAACCTGGGTCATTGCTTTCCAGAAAATGGAGCTTCAGACGCCATCTACAGACAAGCTGAAGGCTAATGGGTGACACAGGGGTGGACATCACAAAGGACATCAATGGGCAATGGGAAGAATGGAGGTCAGTGATTCCAGACCCTGCAGTAGAACTACTTGACGCATACCTAGAGCTCAGTGCTTTCAAAGGTTGGAAGGTAGAAAGATGGCCACAGCTGCAAGCAAGCAAGCAAGGCAAGCAAAGAACACAAGCAAGCAAGAAAAGGAAGGAAGGAAGGACGGAAGGAAGTGTCGGGTCGGGCTGGGCAAGGTAAACCAAGGCAGGAAAGAAAGGAAAGAAAGAAGGAACCAACGAAGGAACAGAGGAATGAACAGAGCAGAAGCAATGCAAGGAAGCAAGAAAGCAACTGAAGAATGCGCGAGGCGAGCTACCCACAAATGAAATGACGGCTGCGACCCTGCAGACAGTCTAGAGGATTAATCGGGCTCATTTCGACGCATTCATCCAGGTCAAGGTCCCTTCCTTTGTGCTGGTAACATCTTGAGCTCATCCGACCAATTCTTTCAACACAAGGCCTGCCTACCTTTGCTGTCCTGCCAACCTTACCTGCCCGATCCTACTCGTACCGATTTTTTTTAAAAGGTAATTTGTTTTTCTCATTTTACTTTTTAAACGTCTTTCTAGGTATTGAGAGATCCGTAAAAGCAGAGACTCGACACCGCTTCGTGACATGGACAAATAATCAGACACCACGGTGAACACCCTGTTTTACACACGACACGTGTCATGATTGATTAGGACGTCCTTAGGCATTTTAAATAACAACTTCCTGTTGGGCTCCT